CAATCTATTGAGACTTCCAAACTATTTTTTTGTAGTATCAGACTTGTTATATCTCTTATGTTTTACATTTAAATTTGGGCATCCTTTTTAAATTTTGATATTAGTAATTCTAATTGTGCTTTTCATCATTAATTTGTTTTTCCTTGCTACGTATACTAATTTTTCAGCATATAATAGTTTTGTGTAAATTTTGTGATACGGTAATTATAATCTTTTTCTAATGCGTAATGTGACTTGTTAACGGCCTGAAATTGACATAAAAAAATTATTTTTTATGGGATCCGTAATAATTTTTCTAGAGAAATGTAGATTACTTCCAACACAAGGTTTCTTCTGCTAATGAATCGTCAGGAGTAACGTAAGCATGAATGTTTTTTAACACGTTTAGCTTATTTACGCAAAAGACTTAACAGGCTATGATGCATGAATCTACAGTTTCTAAACTCAATTTCAATTATTTTTTTCTGTAAGCGTCTAAGCGGATCTATTATTTTTGTTATACTACATCCAGCCTTGCAAAGCGCTTGCTTTACCAATCACTAAAGCTAGTTCTAGTTCTTAAATCTTTTCTAATTTGGCCTAGAATCATGCCATAGTCGATTTTCTCCATTTATCTAAGTTGCAGAATCGACAAGATTTTCAGACTTAATTATTATTGACAGAATTACATTTTTTTATGATTATTAAAGCTATTTCCTATATTTTTAATTTTACTGCCTCTTTTTGTTCGCGGAAATATATTTTTTTATGTACTTGTTAGTTTTTTTGAGAAGTCCTTTACGAGAAATGCCCTCCTTACCCAAATAAAAATATAATGCATTATCAAATTTTCATTTTTCAAGTGATGCAAGATTTTTATCACTTCCCTTCCTTAACCAAGTAACTTTCTTTTCCACACAGAGCCCTAAAGACTTTCCTCTCCTGTTGGTTAGAGCCAGCCCACGTTCCTGACTTCCGCACTCCACCGAGATTTGAAGAACTTATAAGTCTTATAGATTTGGTTAGCCTCTGGCTGGGGGTCTTTACCTCAGTCTCACATTATTTGCCCTCTAAAGATCCTGAGTTCTCTTCTCGCTCTCCTGCAGCAGACTCTATCACTTCTTCAGCCGATATCACCACTGGTCCTGTTGACTCTTCTTCCGACAGTGCCAAATATGGCAATAGAAACTCAACCAATCGCAAAATTCCTGTAGAACTAACTACATCTCCAGATTCTAGTCCATCTCCGAATTACCCCATGCCGACTGCGCAATCCCCCTTAATAGAAAAGTCTTGCATACTCCCAATTGGACGAATTAGCCATCCTAGGCTCTCTAGCATAGAAGTCGAAAATATAACGTCGTCTGATCTTCTCATTGGGTCACCTGGAAGAATACTTATTGTTCATAATAACGTGTGAGTTGGGAGCCATTACTTTACATCAATTATTGACTTATTCATATATTAACATTATTTAAGTACTTGTGTTCGGACGATTATGAGACATTTATGCATCTCTATTCTAAAGTTAAATTTATCTGAAAGGAGTGATTGCTTAAAAGTCTAGTTTTAGCACTGGTCAATAGTATCATCTAGTACTTTATTTTAAGCATTCTAGACGTTTATCTCAACCAATAAAAAGGCATTGCTTTGCTTATCACTATGAGATCCCAAAGCAAATCTTATTTAGTAAAGGCTTTTATAGATGTAGATAAAATTCTCTAATGCCTTTATATTTATTTACTTATTTCATATTCATGTGCATTGCATTGTAATTTTTCAATTATCTGGGGATATCTCATTTGAAAAGATGTTGGCTCTAGGTCTAACCAATGCATGATTTTGACGTATCTTCTCATTAATTAGCAAAATGCTGAAAATATGAGGTTTAAAGGAGCCAAACGAACCCTGCATTATTGGAAACAAGCCACGATTATGCAAGTAATTTCACAGTAGAAATTTTTTGAGAGTTGTTTTTTCATCTAAGTTCAACTAAAGTTTCATGATTGCCTGAGTTTGATAAGTACGTTCTCTTCCAAAGTCTCAATTATATTTAAAAACGTCAATGTCCCTTATTCTATAGACATTACAGCCATGTTTGATGACAAAATACTCGAATTGGTAATTTTTTTAAAGACATAATTATGATAGTATGAACGCTATCGACAGAATCGGCAACAGAATCTGGCATTCGTAACCTCTTTTCTAAAATAACTTTCAGCCATAAGTATGGTGCGATGTAGCGCTTATT